GCAGGGTACCCCCAGCCCTGCCTGCCTCCCACTGACCCCCCCTGCCCTGCCTGCCTCCCACTGTCCCCCCTGCCCTGCCTGCCTCCCCTTGCCCCCCAGCCCTGGCTGCACGTCCTCCCCTCATGCTGTGGCCGGGGCCTCTGGCTTCCTACAACCCATTGCTGGCCTGGGCCTGGGCCCTTCCCCAGCTGCCCCTGGGTTTATAACTCAGGCCAGTCCTGGTGTGCACACAGCATCTCCCTGGGAGGCCAGGGCTGCTCCTGGAGCTCTGTGGGCCTGCCCTGGCCGGTGAGCCTGTGGTGTGGGTTAGGCTGAATCCTTCTCCCTCCTGAGCACAGGGGGCCTGGTGCCCCGCAGCTGCCTCCTCAGCCACCCTGTAGCCCCCGAGGCCTTGCCCTCACTTCAGTGCCCAGGTTCTCAGGCTCTGGACAGGTGACAGGTGAAGGTGGGGTATTGAGCCCACCGGACACACTTGGCAGACATATACCAGGTGCCACACCTGTGCCACATGGCTTCCCGGAGCTGGCAACCACCCCGGACCTGTGGGGACCAACGAGGGGAAGGAGAGGTGACTCTGGGTCAGGCTCACAGGGACGCCGGCACAGACCCTGCCCTGGTGGGTGCCCGTCCTGGGCCCTGGTTCTGCACCAGGAACTAGGCGACCATGGTGGGGCTGCCCACCCTGTTCTCAGTGAGCTCCACGCTTGTCTCGTGGGAGTCACCCTCAGGCAGTCCCAGGCTCCTCTCCTTTTGGGCAGACCCACAGCGCCATCTGGGCATCCGGGGCTTCTGCTGGGGGCCTTGATGGTGACCCAGTGCCCTCACTGCCCAGCCCTGTTGTCAGCCAGGCCCAGACTCTGCAGTCCCTCACTGACCCGGCCACCCCAGGAGGGCTGCAGCCTGTCACCCACGGCAGGTAGCCTGTGGGCACCAGCCGGGTCACATGCTCAGTGCCAGCCAGGGCTGGCCACCCATCCTGCACCCGGGGCCACAGGGCAGCACACGGGGATGAAGGTGCCCTTCATGCCCCAGGGAGGTCAGTGCTCACCACCAGCAAAGTGCCAAGCTCAGCTGCAGGAGGTGGTCATGCCCCAGGGGACTATGGAGAGCTGTCCTCCGGCCGAGAGAGAGGGAGAGAGAGAGACAGAGAGAGAGAGAGAGACAGAGAGAGAGACAGAGGGGGTGTGGGCGCTGAGGCTGCCTTAGTGGAGGTGGGCATGGCCTGCACTGCACCAAGCCCAGCCAGTCTCATGGCTCTGAGTGGCTCACAGGCTTCTGGCTTCTCCAGCCCCTGCACCCCTGCGCTCTCAGCTCTTCCTCCATCTCCGTCTTCAGGGCCAGGGCGTAGCGCCTGCTGGCTTGGCCTCTGCCTCTGCCTCTGGCCTCACCTGGCTCTGTCTGTGTCCGCCTCCCTCTGCCTGCCTCCTGTAAGGACACTTGTGATGACATCAGGGCCCACCCCCTTCATCCAGGAGCCCTTCTCCATGATTTTCAACTAAATGGCTTCTGCAAAGACCCCCTTTCCCTATAAGGGCACACATTCCCTGGTTCCAGAGATGAGGACCTGGCTCCGTGTCCCTCCACCCGTGGTGCTGTGCCTTCCAGAAACCAGTCCCCTGCAGCTCGGTTCTGACCGCTCCCCACCCCCAAGCCTGCTGGTGACCTGGACATCACAGGGTTATCCCCGCAGGCTGGGGGCAGCACGGAGCAGTTTCTGGGCCTGAACACCATGCTCCCTGGGGCGGTTCCTTGAGCCTGCAGCCGCACAGGCCATGCCCTGGGTTGACAGGGAGGGGCCAGCCCTGCTTGGGTCCTCTGACTGGCCTGGCCACCACACTTCTCATTCTCCCGAGACACTGACCTCTCTGTCCTCCTGCCCTCTTGGGGCACATCTGCAGCCCCTGGGCTGCTTCGTGGGGCAGGGGTGGGGCGGGGCTGAGGGCATGGCTGTGACCTGGCTGAGGATGTGGCTGAGGGGGTGGTGTGGCTGAGGATGTGACTGGAGTGTGGCTGAGGGTGTGGCTGAGGGGTGTGGCTGAGGGTGTGGCTGGAGTGTGGCTGAGGGTGTGGCTGAGGGGTGTGGCTGAGGGTGTGGCTGGAGTGTGGCTGAGGGTGTGGCTGGAGTGTGGCTGAGGGTGTGGCTGAGGGTGTGGCTGAGGAGTGTGGCTGAGGGTGTGGCTGAGGGGTGTGGCTGAGGGTGTGGCTGGAGTGTGGCTGAGGGTGTGGCTGAGGGTGTGGCTGAGGAGTGTGGCTGAGGGTGTGGCTGAGGAGTGTGGCTGAGGGTGTGGCTGGAGTGTGGCTGAGGGGTTTGGCTGAGGGTGTGGCTGAGGGGTGGCATGGCTGAGGGCATGGCTGGGGTGGTGCTGAAGGATGTGTGGCTGAACCGTGTGGCTGAGGGCATGGCTGGGTGTGGCTGAGGGGTTTTGGGTTGGAGAAGGGGCCGAGCTGGGGTTTGGCTGAGGGCTGAGTGGGGTGGGCCTGGGGGGTGCCGAAGGTGGGGTGGGGTTGTAGGCGGGACTGGGGAGGCCGTGGCAGCCAAAAATACCCGAGCGGAAATGCCTGCAGGTGGCTGCTGCCCTGTCCACCTACTCAGATGCTCTTTTCTGCCCCGTCCCTGGAGTCCCGGGATGGCACGGTGACAGGTTCGTGATACCCTCCCATGTGGGAACTTGGGGTCCCGACCAGGTGCAGGATGCTGGTGGGCCCCCCTGCTCTTATGTGGTGACTGTGGCTGGCAGGTGTCCTCTGCTGTTAGGTGGTGACTGTGGCTGGTGGGTGCCCTCTGCTGTTAGGTGGTGACTGTGGCTGGCTGGTGCCCTCTGCTCTTAGGTGGTGACTGTGGCTGGCTGGTAGGGGGTGCAGTGCTCCTTGCAGCTGGCACTGAGGTCTTGGTGGAGGAGGCCCCGAAGTGCAGCCAGTGTCCCAGACCTTGCTGGTTCCTCGGGGTCTGCTGGGCCATGGGGCTGAGGACTCTGCTTGTGTGCTGAGGGCCCTGGCTTTGCTCTGGCCCCCTCACCCCTGAGGCCCTGTGGCCCCCAGAACATGGCTGCCCGGGGCAGTGGCTGTGGCCTCCCAGCAGCACAGAGGCTGGGAAGTCTGGTGTACAAGCCCAGGCACAGCCCCGCCTCTACTCCCCACACTGGCCCACACTGAGGTCCCTGGCTATTGGGATGAAGCC